AAATATTGACTGCGCTTGAAAGACCTAAGCAATCTCATTCTGCTTGGGATCTTATTTTGCTCTGAAACTTAACCTCTGACTTATTGTAATCCTAAAGTCAGGAAAAAACTACAGAAAAGCTCTGTGGAAACAGTTCTCGGAAAAGCCAGAAAAGCTGCAGATAAGCCAAGATAACCACATATCTGAAATTCCAGATGGCCTCCACCTAGGTGTGGTGACCACTATCTACACTAGAAGCCCTGCAGTTTGGCACATACTCCCCTTGCGACATCCTCACGGTTTAGACCAATCAGTTCAAATGAATCCCCCTCTTGTAGTGACCAATCACCCCTGCCCAACTTGTTCCTGCCAGTGAATGTGCTAATCATGTTTTAGAGTTGTTATTTGATTTTCCCGCGGTGTGTGATGATTTGCTAAGAGATGCTATGATGTATATAGGGGTCCCTGCCTTCTCCAAAGAATGTATAAAACTGCTGCAAAACCTGGGCTCGGGGCCTCTTAGCGTCACCTGTTGCTGTGTGTGTGCGGAGGACCGAGCTAGCTCGCAATAAACACCTCTTTGCTGCTTACATCGATCTTGGGTCTCTGGTGGTCTTTTGGGGGTCCCGAATTCGAGCATAACATGCTTTTCCTAAGTTTGATGTTACCCCAAATTTATACGACATTAACCACATTGAGATGTGAAAATTTATAAATAAAAATTTCAAATTTTCTAAATTTCTAAACTATCAGAAAATTAAAAATTTAATAATAGTAATTACTACATAGGGTAAACAAACTATGAAGTAAATAGACTTCCTAGGGTAAATAATCCATGCTAAAGACTAGTTATCTTTATATTCTTCTGTCAAGATAGTGACATTATATTGTCATATATAAGAGGTGATCAGAGTATGGAGACAAAAATATGTATAGAGTTGGTCCTCTTTATTCATAGTTTCCATAGCCATGGCTTTTACAAACTGGATTAGAATACTCAGAAAAAATTGTGTGTGTATTGAACATGCACAGATTTTTCTTGCCTAAACAATACAGTACAACAATTACTTACATAGCAGTGACATGGTATTAGGGATTGCAAGTACTCTAGATTATTTAAAATATGTGGGAAGATGTACAGAGGCAAAATATCATTTTATATAGGACACTAGAGCATCTGTGTCAAGAGGGGTGTCCCAGAACCTATCTATTATGAACTGTGTGATGCCGGACAAGTTTCTTAACTCCCAGATATGTGGGAATGTAGATATATTAAAGATGGGTCAAGCAATTGAAATTCATAACAACACTGGACTATTTTTCCAATTTTTTTTTTTTGTACTGCTTAACAGAGTTTGAAAATGTTAAACTCTGGTTTGGTTTTTTTTCTAAACAATACATTCACTTCTGTATCTAACCTTATATTTTACTTTTGTATTTTGTTCTTAAAGAGGACATGTGGGTTCCAGTTACTGTTTTCTCTCATGTAGGTCACAATGACAGTCTCCGGCAGGTCTTCCGGGTTGGTCTCTGCCCTCTGGGAGTGTGGCACAACAGCCAGGGGAATGATTTTAAAAGCATGTTAGAAAATAATCACTCCTCTTTCCTAACCTGACAGTGATTTTCATTCTCCTTTACAGTGAAAGCACAAATACTTCTGTTGCCTGTAGGGTCTGATCTGCCATTTTCTAAGTTCTCCCCAACTCCTTCCTCTGCCTCCCGAGTCTCTGGGATTACAAATGTGCACCACCATGCCTGGCTAGAGTTTTTTTCAGTTTTCTTTAACTCCAACCTACATTATAGTTTTGTTGTACTCTTCTAATTATAAATATTTATCTTGTGTGTATATTTGTCTACCTTATCCATCCTATTGGTTCATCAATCTTTAAGATATTCAATCATTACCTCAGACATAAAATACGCAGTAATATAACTAACTTCAGCATTTGGAGTGTTATATTTACAGAATATCAAAAGGGATCATATAATTTGATTCAGGATCTCTCATTTACAAGGAAAGAGGCATAAGCTGTGCTGTGTAGGAACATAGTCATGCATTTCATGGGAATCTAAGAAAAGGAGCTACAGTATAGCTGAGACCTGGAGGCCTCTTGCATTCTCTCTCTCACTCTCTCTCCTTTTCTCCCACTCCCTGTTTCATTCTGTGCCTTTCTCATTCCTTTGTGCTTCTATTTTACACATTTTGTTTGCTGTCTTCTCTACGTCTATACACCGCATTACCTTTATGTGAAATCAAATTTGACAGCAAAGCCTCCTGTCTTGGCTTCCAGTCATGCTCTCCTTCTTATGAACTGTGTGAAACTGGACAAGTTTCTTAATTCCTCAACATTCCCATCGGTAGAATGGTGGAAGTGGGATTTGTTACTAATAGTAATTTCTTCATAGAGTAAATAAACTAAAAATGAAAAGTACATGTACTCTGTAAATGGTGGCTCTTATTACTTGTGCATTTGATTTTCCTTTTCTCACAACTTTAATTTTACGGTTGTTTTAGTCAGCTTTTTTGCTGATGTGACTTAAAGACCCTACAAGATCAATTTTAGGGGAGGTAGAGTTTGAGGGCTCACAGTTTCAGAGGTCACAGTCTATTGACAGCTGGTTCCATTCCTCAGGGCTTTAGGTGAGGCAGAACATCTTGGCAGAAGAGTGTGGCGGAGGGAAAAGCTCACACAGTGATCAAGAAGCAGGGAGAGAAAGACTCCACTTGCACCGCACACAAAACATATTCCCTAAAGCCACACCTGCAATGACCCACCTCCTCTAGCCACACCCTAAGGGCCTTCAGTTACCACTCAGTTAATCCCCGATTGGATTAAGGCTCTTATAACCCAGTCATTTCTCTTCTAAACCTTCTCGCATTGCTTCACACATTGTCTCACACCTCACATTCAAACTATAACAACCACGGACCATCATGGTAGTCCTGATACTTTCTAAAAGATGGTGGGCACCCTGCTGGTAACTCAGTCCTACATTCTCAGGAAAGGAATCTCTTAACCTTAATCTGCTTGAGCTGGGCCACATTGAATTGGTTTTTGCAAATCCAGTGGATTGGCTGCCCTTAAGGAAAGGTCCTTCTGGTCCAGTCTTCCATGTCCGGCAGGAGGTGGAATCATATGCACACAATATGCTGCTGTCTCTCACTGATGGACAGTTAGTTTCCCCGTTTCCTGCTGACCAGGGGAGAGAGAAGCTGGCAGAAAAACAATATACTGGCTAAAGATATCAGAGAATATATGTTTGATAAACATTGTTTTTAGTGAATTTTTAATATATGAAATCATGATTTTCATGGTCTTTGTAAGCTCAAGGATATAATTCAAGTATGTGTTTTTACGATTAGTACCTTGGACCTAATTAAATCTGGCGAAGAGATGACACCACAGCGTGATGGAAAGAGCATGAAGTTGGAGTGTGGAGATTTGGTAAATTCTAGTTCCTGCTCTCACCCACTGGTTTATCCTGGGCAATATGTGAAACCTGTAAGCATCATTTTCCTCATCTTTAAACAGAGTCAAAAATATTGGCTGTTATTATAAATACACTGCTTGGCAAATAGCCTCCTTGGACAGTATTTTTGCCAAAAAAAAAAAAAAAAAATTAGCATCTGAGCTCAGAAACAGTCTGTGATGATCACAATAGATAAGAAGTCTCTTAATATTTATATTTGCCAGATTCAAAGGTCTAGTTATATAGAGAAAAAAATCAATGGCAGAATGAAAATGACAATGAAGTATAAGTGGTATTGAAGAATAGTAGCTCAATACTAAGGTGGAAATGATAAAATGCCAGCATTTTCCTCAGATTAAGGACTTGGGCTTCACAGAAGAGGAAATGGAATTCATTTAAAAGTTGGAATAACTTGTGCTCAGATGTAGCATGGCTCACCCTTACTAATCTCAGTTTTAGAGACTCAAAATTCTCTTGCTTTTTAATGTTCACATTATGTTCTAATCACTTGAGCATCTTACACAGAGAATTGTGGTTGAGGAACAGCTGTGCTAACTGGTGGACTGTCTGGAGAGTGTGATTTGTGGGGTACAGAAAGTTCTCCTTCCCTAGTACTTCTCCGTTAACCTGCTCAGATCTGTATTGCTGATTCTTCAAGAAAAGACAAATCTCAGCTAGACTTTGGAGTTGCGTTTTGTGGCAGATATGATTATCTAGTAAATAATGCCAACTGTTTTTATTTCACAACTATTCCTGAGGGAATGAGATGCATTTGTAGGTTAATCTCGCTTTGAACCAGACTCCCTGCATTTGCAGTCTAGCTCTCAAACAACTGGCTCTTTGACTCACACACTCCTCTTTAAAATGGTAATAATAAGGGTACTTTACAGTCAGGTACCTCACAGGTTTGAATGAGCTAATATGTGAAGACTGTGTTAGCTCCTATTATGCTCCAGAAATAAGAGGAAAGATCCGGAGAATGGAACCATCTTAAGGAGGTGTGGGGGAAGCAGACAAGGAATGTCAGTACAGACACTAGGGTTAAGAACAGTTGGGTATGCTAGAAATAATATGAGGAGGCCACCCAGAATCATGGTGGGTATCCTTTAATGGTTAATATTTCTTTATTCACAATTTTGCAGATAATCATCCAACTACTGATTAAAGCACTGTTAATGTGGCTATCAGAGAAAGATTAGTGTCCATCTTCCATCTCATGGTCCACTAATGATTTCCTTTGTCAGTGAGAGAGTTTTCTTATTTTCACCCCTTCAATTCCACTAATTTAATACAACTTTTTGTACTAAGCAATAGAAATATCAAGACTTCTGGCGCGCGCGCTGGGCCGGCCCGTCCTGTTCCGTCCCAATCCTTGTAAACAGGCGGAGGCCGGGCGGGGTGGGAATGGGGCGCCCGAGGCCGGCCCGGGGTGCGGCGCAGAAGGCGGCGGCCGCGGCCGCAGTGGCAGCGGCGGGGCGGGTGGTTGCGCGGCGGCCGACGCAGGTGTGATGGGCAGGTGAGGAGAAGCCACCTCCCTGTCTGGTCTCAGCATGACCTAGTGCTTCCTGCCCCCCACCAGCAGCCCCAGCGAGCACCGCAGGGCCGAGCACGGCAGCGGGCTGACCCGGACGCCCAGCTCCGAGGAGATCAGCCCCACAAAGTTCCCTGGACTGTACCGCACGGGCGAGCCCTCGACCCCCCATGACGCCCTGCACGAGCCCGCCGATGCAGCGTCGGAGGATGAGAAGGACCATGGCAAGAAGAAAGGAAAGTTCAAGAAGAAGGAGAAGAGGACTGAAGGCTATGCTGCCTTTCAGGAAGATAGTTCTGGAGATGAAGCTGAAAGCCCTTCCAAAATGAAGAGGTCCAAGGGAATTCATGTTTTCAAGAAGCCTAGCTTTTCTAAAAAGAAGGAGAAGGATTTTAAAATAAAAGAGAAACCCAAAGAAGAAAAGCATAAAGAAGAAAAGCACAAAGAAGAAAAGCATAAGGAGAAGAAGTCAAAGGACTTGACGGCAGCTGACGTTGTCAAACAGTGGAAGGAAAAGAAGAAAAAGAAGAAGCCCATCCAGGAGCCGGAGGTGCCTCAGGTGGATGCACCCAGCCTCAGGCCTGTCTTTGGGATTCCTCTGGCTGCTGCGGTGGAGAGGACCATGATGTGCGACGGCGTCCGCCTGCCGGCCGTGTTCCGCGAGTGTGTGGACCATGTGGAGAAGCACGGCATGAAGTGCGAGGGCATCTACAGAGTGTCAGGAATTAAATCAAAGGTGGATGAACTAAAAGCAGCCTACGACCGAGAGGAGTCTCCAAATTTGGAAGAATACGAGCCCAACACTGTCGCCAGCTTGCTGAAGCAGTACCTGCGAGACCTGCCAGAGAATTTGCTTACCAAAGAGCTGATGCCCCGATTCGAAGAGGCCTGCGGGAGGGCCACGGAGAGCGAGAAAGTGCAGGAGTTCCAGCGCTTGCTCCAGGAACTGCCGGAATTTAACTACCTTCTCATTTCCTGGCTCATTGTTCACATGGACCACGTTATTGCCAAGGAACTGGAAACGAAGATGAACATACAGAACATCTCCATCGTGCTCAGCCCCACTGTGCAGATCAGCAATCGTGTGCTGTATGTGCTCTTCACACATGTGCAAGAGCTCTTTGGAAACGTGGTACTAAAGCAAGTGACGAGACCTCTGCGGTGGTCGAACATGGCCACCATGCCCACGCTGCCAGAGACCCAGGCGGGTATCAAGGAGGAGATCCGGAGACAGGAGTTTCTTTTGAATTGTTTACATCGAGATCTGCAGGGTGGGATAAAGGATTTATTTAAAGAAGAAAGATTATGGGAAGTACAAAGAATTTTGACAGCCCTCAAAAGAAAACTGAGAGAAGCTAAAAGACAGGAGTGTGAAACCAAGATTGCACAAGAGATAGCCTCAAAGGAGGACATTTCCAAAGAAGAAATGAATGAAAATGAAGAAGTCATAAACATTCTCCTTGCCCAGGAAAACGAGATCCTGACGGAGCAGGAAGAGCTCCTGGCCATGGAGCAGTTCCTGCGCCGGCAGATCGCCGCCGAGAAGGAGGAGATCCAGCGCCTCAGAGCCGAGATTGCCGAGATCCAGAGTCGCCAGCAGCATGGCCGGAGCGAGACAGAGGAGTACTCCTCGGAGAGCGAGAGCGAGAGCGAGGACGAGGAGGAGCTGCAGCTCATCCTGGAGGACTTGCAGAGGCAGAACATGGCCACCATGCCCACGCTCCAGAGGAGCTGGAGATAAAGAACAACCACTTGAACCAGGCCGTTCCATGAGGAGCGCGAGGCCATCATCGAGCTGCGGGTGCAGCTGCGCCTGCTCCAGACACAGCGTGCCAGGGCCGAGCAGCCCGAGGACGAGGAGCCCCGCGACGGTGCGCCCGAGGCGAAGGCTGGCAAGGAGCCCGCGAAGCCGTCGCCCAGCAGAGACCGCCGGGAGACGCCCCTCTGAGCGCCCGGGCAGTGGCGCTGGAAGGTGCCTGTGGCCCAGAGTGCCCAGCGCCGCCGGCGCTGTCCCTTCTGTAAAGACGCCTTCTCTCCTCAGACTCCTCGTCACGTCGGCTCGTCAGGCTCAGGGTCCCAGGGACGGAGCAGCGGACGTTTTCCAGATAGTGTCAGCTTATGGGGAATTAATTTTCTTTGTTAACTTAAAATAACTATTTTAACCCTTGAGTGGCTTCTTTTTAAACCAAAAAATCGTGTTTCTTTGCTTTTCTATCACAGCAGAATCAGGATCTCATTAAGGTGGGGACACCAAGCCAGGTCTCTGCGCCGCCTGTGGCTGCGGCCCCGGGCTCCTGCTTGTGCCTTTCACACCTCCTCGGTGCAGACCATTCGGGGAGCTGCCTCCCTTGTGCCTGCCGGCCGGTGGCTCTCGGGTCCCTTTGCCCACTGTAGCCCTCCCACAGTTCTGAACCACAGTCCGCAGCCCGACACCAGGTGGCCTCGGTGGCAGGCGGAGGCTGCGTGGAGCATGCCGGCCCTGCCCGCAGGCTCCGGCTACTCACTGCCAGTGATCAGCGGAGGCCTTTGCACTGGGGCGGCCGGAGGCGGCCCGCTCGCCCGGAGGCATCCACCCACCAATGTTTCTCAAACCCGAAACCTTCCGCGTGACAGACCCTCCCGTCAGCAGTGACCTGGATTGCTTGCTTGGGCTAGAATGTACCCGTCTCTGCCTGAATAAGCCATATGTATGCTCCTACACCAAGGTAGGTCGTCCCTGCCCTTAGTGAGCCCGCTGAGGGACCCCGACGACAGGATCGAGCAATAGGAAGAGACGCCTCCTGGGGGTAACTGGGACGCCCCTTTTGCTTCTGGCCCGTCAGATTAGATGGCTGCTGGGAGGCTCCTGGGAGGCCAGGCTCCTGAGGCAGCTGCTCGCTGGCTGACCCCAGAGGCCGCCTGCAGCTCTGCAGACAGACCCCATGCACCCCGAGGCCCTGTCCTCCTCCTGGTTAGTATTTATTTCCAGCACCTGTCTGATGCGGTTTTTTATCCTCTACCTATTGCACTGTTGTGACTTGTCGGCCATTATTTGATTTTTGTACGAAAAAAAGCTTTGTTATAGAAATCAGCATACTATTTTTTTAAATCTGGAGAGAAGATATTATGGTGACTGAAATATGGTCAGGTGTCAAATATAAATGTATAAACGCCTTCTTGCTGTTCTGTCCGACATCTTACGTTCATTTTGTATTTGCTGGCAATACTGAAGGTTTCTTCTGTTGGTGTGAACTCTGATTTCTACAATGGTATCATGGGTTTTTAAAATCAGTGTCTCGTTACAACTGTCTCAGTGTTGGTGAACTAATTTTTGCCAGGACCATTATTGATTGAGCAAATAAATTCAACAGCCATTGGGGGAAAAAAAAAAGAAATATCAAGACTTCTCTATTTTATGTCCATGTAAGAAAATTTGGTGAGTTTGAAAAAAAAAATCTCTCAAAGAAACAATGATGGAAGTAGGCAGGTTTCATTCTAAAAATATTAATGTCACTGCTCAACTTGAATATTGTATTAAATGAATTGTTAAGTGTGGCTGAAGCTGATTGTCTGAAAACTGATTTCCTTCAGATTCGCCCTCATTGCAATCACTTTATACACTGATAGCCACCGTGACCATTTTTCATTTGTCAATGAAGCAAGTGAAACAGTCTTCTTTTTATTTTTTTAAATTGTAACTTTTGCAAAAGTGATAGCTCAGTGAACTGCTTAGAATTGGGTTTGGTTGTGACTATTGATACAATTCAAATCAGCTGTTTAACCAAGAAAGAACCTCATTTCTACCTTTCATTAATGCCTGGATGTAGGCATTCAATGCCTCTGATGGCAGGCAGTTCTGCTTTTTGAGGTGCTGAAGGGCCCAATGCCTGCCAAAGGCTCATGTGTGGAAGGATTGGATTTCAGCTGGTGGTACTTTTGGGAAGTGATGGAAACCTTAGGAGGCGAGGCCTAATTGGAAGAAGTAGGTCACTGGGGGCATGTTCTTGAAGGCTATATCTTGTCCCTGACCCCTTCCTCTCTTTTTCTCTCTCTGCTTCCTGATCACTATGAGGTGAGCAACACTGCTCCACTGTGCACTCTCTGCCATGAGGTTGTCTCTTGCCAAAGGCCCAAAGCAATGGGGACAAGTGACTGAAACCTCTGAAACTCGAGCCAAAACAAAAATTTCCACCTTTAAAGAATTGATTTTCTCAGGTATTTTACCACAGTGGCTGAAAGCTGACTAACACACCAGGCTTCTGTCTTGGTGTTCCTTCATCCAGGATCTCTGTTCCTAAGTAAAGCCATCATATCCCCATGGCAGATGCCAAGAATGAGAAAAGGGAGAGTGTCCCTAGCACTTAACGACTCTTCTGGTCCTTCATACGCTACTCTGGTCACATCCCGTCAGCTAGAATTTCATCACAGGGCTGTGTTGAGAACTTCACTCATTCTGTACAGCCATCTGCTTAGAAAGAAGAGAGACAAGAGATTTGAGAACAAATAACAGCCTTTGCCATCCTGGGTCTGGGGTGATTATGAGTCAACCTGAAATCTTTAATTGCTCAGTTTCTTAAAATATAGTACTTAATTAATTCTCACAAAAGGAGCTCATTTATTTCCATCAGTCAAGTGGAAGCAAAAAAGATGCAATTTTAGCAATCTGCTTGGTTTCCTAAACACCTAATTGGTAAATTCCCTTAGTGAATTCCCTACAGGGTCAGATGCATGCCTGACTGGAAGATTAACTCTTTTCTGAGGTAGGAAGATATGTAGGGAAGTCTAGGTCTAGAGTCTGAAGGCTCAGTGCCAGTTCAAATCGGAGTTTTCCTCTCAGAATCTTTACTTGATTTTTTTTTTTAACAAGCCTTGCTTCGAACTTCACTAAATAGGTTTTTCAGGACCAAAGTGAACATCATTCCTCTGTGGGAGAAATGCCTTAACCCTTTCTCTGAGGTTCTGTCACCATCTGCTCTAATGTCAACCATATCCTGCTTCACGTCTCTGAGTTTCAGAGGTTTATTTGGTACCCACTGCTAAAAAACTCAACTGCTCTGGGTTTCTGGGCACTGCCTGGCTTTGGAGGCTTCTTGTTTCCCTGGGGTTATCTTTATCATCTAGGCTTCCACTTCTCTATTCCAGCCACTTTAGAAAGCTTCAAATGTTAGGGCTTTGTCTTTATAATCCAGATGAGAAACAAGAGATTCTGTGACACATTCTAAATCCTCGTTGCATGATGTAAACAACCACCAAAAAACTAGGAACTGACTGAATTAGAGCAAATTATATTCTATGTTTTTATATGTCAAAAGGAATCCTAATAATATATGTAACTAAAAATAACTAATAAAAAAGATTTAAAGAAACTATGCACTTATCTTATGTGCGCTTGTCACAGAGACAGTCTTTGATGGAAGTATCTGCAGCAGGGCAACACTGGTCATGGTAGCTGCAGCTACAAATTAGATTTGGAACTGACAGATGAACAGAGTAAAAGGATTCTCCACAGGAACAAACATGCATGTGGTCAGAATTCACTGCCGTGTAAAATAAACTCAGAAGCGCTTATAATTACTGGTAACTCAGTCCAAGCCTGGTAACACCACTTCCCATAGCAAGCCAGAAATGCCTTATTGGCTCAGAAAAATCTTATCAAAGGATCCTCAAAATTGCTCTTCAACAAATAGTCAAAATGAAATTTAAGGGCTGGGGTTGGGGTTCAGTGGTACAGCACTTGCCTTGAACGTATGAGGCACTGGGTTGGAGTCTCAGCACTGCATGTTAATAAACAAAATAAAAGCCATTGACAGCTAAAAATTTTTTTTTAATGAAATTTAAGAATTCTTTCCTTTCAGAAAAAGAATATTGGGGCACATGACTAGGATCCCAGGCTTTGGGTTTAAGCAGACCTCAAGGAACCCTGACTTATCAGCTCTGTTACCTTGTTTGGGAAGCTGCTTCATGTCCTTAAAGCTCTGTTTTGTCAACTTTGAATAGAGATAATGTTACACTTCATCTCATATAGTTATTGTGAAGTGTAAAGGAAAGAATTCATTTAAAAATTTAGTATAACATCTGACATTATATGCCTTTAATAAATACCACCTGAAAAAAATATGGAAGTAACTACAACTTTATTGCTGTCTTTAAAATCAAACAGGTAGGGATTGACACATCAGATAAACAATATAGCATGATCCTCCCTAGTACCCAAAATGAAATGGAAAAAAATAATAATCCTTGACATAGTCTACCATTTTATTGTAATAAATTCCTCACTGCAATGTTTATATTTTAGTTTTGTGAGTGGTGAGAAGTTGAGGAAATATGCCAGGTTCAATAAGAATATGAAAAGGGAGGTGTACTGGAATATTTGCATAATTATTACTCCACCTAAATCTCTAATCTCCAAAGTCTCCCTTTAAGCCTGTTGTGATGAATTTAATATCTAGTACAACTGCCTATTACCATACCTGGTTCAAGCTGGTGAAACCGGAAATCTTTGGGTGTCACAACTTCTTTTGACAAAGCAGAGAGTTGCAAGCCTTCCCTGGTATTTCAAACAGGAATCAGCTCAAGCTTAGCCACTTAAAGATTAGTTTGTGGACCAGGTGATTGGCACCATCCAGAAGCCTGTTAGAAATGTAGAAATGAGGGTCCCACCTCAATTCTAGCCAATCACTCTGCTTCATGACAAGATCCTCAGAGATGCACTGAGGTGCAGAACATCATGTACTTCTTTTGCACTTTGAAAATAATTATGAAGGATGATGCATCTCACTATCAGTTTCAACCAACTTTTTAAAAATTGCATGCTTCCTAATCCTAACTTCCCTCCTATCCCTTGACTGTGGCCTTTGTTTTTGACTTTTGTGAGAAAGTCAAATGGGCATCACAGGTTAGGTTAACTGTAGTCTAAGTCTTGCTTCTCACCTTGACTTAAATGCTTTTTTGTTTGTTTTTTATTTAGAGACAGGGTCTCACCAAGTTGCTTAGCACCTCACTTTTGCTGAGGCTGGCTTTGAATTCCTGATCCTCTTGCCTCAGATTCCCTTGCTGCTGGGATTACAGGCATACACCACTTCACCCAGCAACTTAAATGCTTTTAAACTAGGAGAGTGGTCAAGTCCACAAGATCTGGGTTCAGAGAGATGGAAGACAAATTTTATCTCTTCCAGTTACTTCTGTGAAAATTAGAGAAAATTAGTTTTCTTACCTATAAAACGGTAATAATATTAATGGTATTTCCTCCACATAATCTTTCACTGGCTCCCATAGTTTTTAGGGTAAGATATGAGCATTTTTGTGATCAGTTCATTTTCTAGGGCATCCCGGGTGATTAGCTCAGACTAGACTGTAAGTGAATCAGAATATTCAGAATTAATGTGATTTAAACTCTCCTGTTGATTTTATTTAGTTATTAGTAGCAATTTCCATTTTAAAAACAAGAACAAATATTTCATTTTATATTGTTCAAATCTTACATTTATTCAGCTAAGATTGAGGGCCCTCTATCGCTATGCTTGGGAGGAAGAAGTTAGACCCATAGAGTTGATATTCTATAACAACTGTACATACTGTAAATGTATTCACAATATCTTATTACAACATTTTCTTTCTCTTTCTGTTTAAGGCAAATATTTGTAGGACATGGCTTGCTCCATTCGATAACTTTTAGTTGAATATCAAATATGAAATCTGATGACAAGTGAAATAAAAGGTATGATATGGCATTTTCAGTCATTGCTATAACTCAATACTATATTTTCAGTCTATTACTATATGGAAAAGTCTAAAGGTACCAAACAACACTGAATTTCTAAATTCCCAGATTAAAAAGGACTAAGAACTAAGTTTATACTTCATTATTGCAAATAGGTACGAGATTCATAACAGCACTAAAGATACAAATATTTTGGTATTACAAAGATAATTCAAATAAATAAAATAAGCATTGATCACTTTGTTTTTCCCACTCTAACAATAGCTGACTCTTTTTTTCTCACCTTTTTTTAAATTGGTGATTATAGTTGTACATAGTAATGGGGTTTGTTGTTACATATTCATACATACATACAATATAATCTCCTCTCTCCCCACCTCCTACTCTGGTCCCTTTCCTCTACTAATCTCCCTTTGATTTTCATGAGATTCACCCCTACCTTTCTTTTCCTT